CAAGAGGCGAGGCCACATTGGATTTGGTACTGGGTAATGAACCAGGCCAGGTGTTAGATTTGGAGGTAGGAGAGCACTTTGGTGATAGTGACCACAATTCGGTTACGTTTACTTTAGCGATGGAAAGGGATCGGTATATAAAGCAGGGCAAGAGTTATAGCTGGGGGAAAGGCAACTATGAGGCGATGAGGCAAGATTTAGGATGCATAGGATGGAGAAGGAAACAGCAGGGGCTGGGCACAATTGAAATGTGGAGCTTGTTCAAGGAACAGCTACTGCGTGACCTTGAGAACTATGTACCTTTCAGGCAGGGAGGAAATGGTCGAGCGAGGGAACCGTGGTTTACTAAAGAAGTTGAATTTCTTGTCAAGAGGAAGAAGGAGGCTTATGTAGAGATGAGGCGTGAAGGCTCAGTGAGGGTGCTTGAGAGTTACAAGTTAGCCAGGAAGGACCTAAAGAGAGAGCTAAGAAGAGCCAGGAGGGGACATGAGAAGTCTTTAGCAGGTAGGATCAAGGAAAACCCTAAAGCTTTCTATAGGTATGTCAGGAATAAAAGAATGACTAGAGTAAGATTGGGGCCGGTCAAGGACAGTAGTGGGAAGTTGTGCGTGGAGTCCGAAGAGATAGGAGAGGTGCTAAATGAATATTTTTCGTCAGTATTCACGCAGGAAAAAGACAATGTAGTCGAGGAGAATACTGAGATACAGTCTATTGGACTAGATGGGATTGAGGTTCATAAGGAGGAGATGTTAGCAATTCTGGAAGGTGTGAAAATAGATAAGTCCCCTGGGCCAGATGGGATTTATCCTAGGGTTCTCTGGGAAGCTAGAGAGGAGATTGCAGAGCCTTTGGCTTTGATCTTTATGTCGTCATTGTCTTCAGGAATAGTGCCAGAAGACTGGAGACTAGCAAATGTCATCCCCTTGTTCAAGAAGGGGAGTAGAGACAACCCTGGTAATTATAGACCAGTGAGCCTTACTTCAGTTGTGGGGAAAGTGTTGGAAAGGATTATAAGAGATAGGATTTATAATCATCTGGAAAGGAATAATTTGATGAGGGATAGTCAACACGGTTTTGTGAAGGGTAGGTCGTGCCTCACAAACCTTATTGAGTTCTTTGAGAAGGTGACCAAACAGGTGGATGAGGGTAAAGCGGTTGATGTGGTGTATTTGGATTTCAGTAAAGCGTTTGATAAGGTTCCCCATGGTAGGCTATTGCAGAAAATACGGAGGCATGGGATTGAGGGTGATTTAGCGGTTTGGATCAGAAATTGGCTAGCTGTAAGAAGACAGAGGGTGGTGGTTGATGGGAAATGTTCATCCTGGAGTTCAGTTACTAGTGGTGTACCTCAAGGATCTGTTTTGGGGCCACTGCTGTTTGTCATTTTTATAAATGACCTGGATGAGGGCGTAGAAGGATGGGTTAGTAAATTTGACACCAAAGTCGGTGGAGTTGTGGACAGTGCAGAAGGATGTTGTAGGTTACAGAGGGACACAGATAAGCTGCAGAGCTGGGCTGAGAGGTGGCAAATGGAGTTTAATGCGGAAAAGTGTGAGATGATTCACTTTGGAAGGAGTAACAGGAATACAGAGTACTGGGCTAATGGTAAGATTCTTGGTAGTGTGGATGAGCAGAGAGATCTCGGTGTCCATGTGCATAGATCACTGAAAGTTGCCACCCAGGTTGATAGCGTTGTTAAGAAGGCGTACAGTAAGTTAGGTTTTATTGGTAGAGGGATTGAATTTCGGAGCCATGAGGTCATGTTGCAGCTGTACAAAACTCTGGTGCGGCCGCACTTGGAGTATTGCATACAGTTCTGGTCACCGCATTATAGGAAGGATGTGGAAGCATTGGAAAGGGTGCAGAGGAGATTTATCAGGATGTTGCCTGGTATGGAGGGAAGGTCTTATGAGGAAAGGCTGAGGGTTTTGAGGCTGTTTTCGTTAGAGAGAAGAAGGTTAAGAGGTGACTTGATAGAGACATACAAGATGATCAGAGGATTAGATAGGGTGGACAGTGGGAGCCTTTTTCCTCGGATGGTGATGGCTAGCACGAGGGGACATAGCTTTAAATTGAGGGGTGATAGATATAGGACAGATGTCAGAGGTAGGTTCTTTACTCAGAGAGTAGTAAGGGCGTGGAATGCCCTGCCTGCAAAAGTAGTAGACTCGCCAACTTTAAGGGCATTTAAATGGTCATTGGATAAACACATGGATGATAATGGAATAGTTTAGGTTAGATGGGCTTCAGATTGGTTTCACAGGTCGGCGCAACATCGAGGGCCGAAGGGCCTGTACTGCGCTGTAATGTTCTATGTTCTATGTTCTAAGTTCTATGTCTGGCCAATAGGAATCACTGAGCCCCTGCGCGTGAGGTACATGATCTGGTTTGTTACCACATTGCTGTCTGAGGGGAGCTTGCTGTGTGTAATTTGGCTGCTGCATTTCCTACTTCATAAGGGTTAGAACATTTCATAGAAGCACTTCACATGCTGTGAGGGAATCTGGGAGCTCCTGGGATTGTAACGATGCTTTAGGATTATCAGCAACCTTGTTAAATATGATGCTCAACAGGAAATACTGAAGACAGGGAATTTGCAAATATAGAAGAAAGGGTATGTTTGTGCTGATTTCTTTTGTTTGGCTTTTTTGTTGTTCAGACCAGCTGCCAGCTATGTGCAGAAACCAGCTACTTGCTTCAGATGAAATTTGGAAATCCCCATCCACCTTTGCAATTTAATTTATTTCAATGTCGCAAGAAACTTTGCTGGAGAGAATGAGGAAATTGGAAGTCGTTAATTGTTCCTCTTCATTCTGCTTATTGCTGTTTGTTGACAAAAACTCCCTCTTGTAACCATTGCATGCCTAAATATTAATCATTACAGCTTTGCTCAACCCCTTGCCCCCACAGAAAGGTTTTGTATGCCCCAGAAACAACCTGCACATCTTCACAGGAAGAAACCACCTCCCTTGATGTGGGGATAAATGACCAGGTTCGGGGGTGTGTGGTCAGGATAGCTTTAAGGTAAGGGTTGGGAGGGTTTAGAGGAGATGTGAGGCAAAGTATTTTCACCCAGAGGCTGGTGGGAATCTGGAACTCACTGCCTCTAAGGGTAAGGGAGACAAGGAACCTCTTTGAAGACGTGTACTTGAGATACCAAGGCTTGCAAGGTCAAGTGCTGGAAAATGGAATTAGATTAGTTCGGTGCTTGCATTTGAAGTGATGGGCTGAGGGGCCGTTCGATGTACAAGAGACCTCCGTGACTCTCTGAATCCAGCCATTGCAGACACAAAGCAATTAAAATGATTTGCATTTGCATGGCGCCCTTCAATGCCACACAAGATTCCAGGGCAATTCGAAAAAGGGTCTTTCTGAGGGTTAGATGACCAAAGCGTTATTCAAAACAACTTTTTTAAAATAAAGGCCTTTAAGGAGAGGCTTAAGAAGGGGATTCGAAGCTGAAAGCACAGCCAGCAATGGTTGGAGCGGATGTGGTTGTACTAAATGAGGCCAGGAAGAGCAGAAGCAGACAGTCCTGAAAAGGATCAATCAGGTCACTGGTCAGTCCTCAGCAAATACCTTTGGGAAGACGAGTGGAGGAGGGGAGTAGGCCATTTGAGTGATGGAGTGTGACGAGAGCAGATCAGAAAGGGGAAGGAGTCGGAATTATTTCGCTGTCCAAGCTAACATGGGAACTGATGGGAAAAGAGGCTGGAGGGGTGGAGTGAAGGAAGTAGGCTGTGAGGCTGAGGGGAACTGAGCTGCGAGAGGGCGCGACATGTGGGAGAGAAACTGGAGACAGGCTCCCAGCTAAGGTTGGGGAAGAGGGGTTGTTTTCGAAATGAGATTGGGGAAGGGAGGTGGTGGAGGTGGATGGAGAGGGAGGGTGAGATACACCAGAGGATTGGGCAGCCTCAGGAGGGGAACCCAGATGGGTCAAGCTCTCCATCAGCATCCGTGTTACTTTCCCCATCCCTTTCATTGTTACGCCTTAGAGTGTGGACCTAGTTTTGTGTGAGGAGCGTTGCTGTATAGTAGGAACTGGGGAAAGTCAGTCCCCCACGTAGAGAGTGGGGGACAAAGAAAGAAGCACAGAGAGAGAGACAGAGACACCCATGTCCATAATCAGTCACTGGGGGGTAAAGCATTTGGGGCAATATATCTTGACAGGTCCCTATCCCCAGTAAAATGCTTCCATCCTCCATCATCTGGGATCTCTCTATGCCAGCTGGGATCTTTCTACCCATCGGCCAGGCATGGGTAATGCAGTGGTTAGCATTGCTGCTTCACAGCACCAGGGACCCAAATTCGATTCAACCCTTGAGTGACTTTCGGTGTGGAGTTTGCATTCTTGGCTTGGGTTTCCTCCCACAGCCCAAAGATGTGCAAGTTAGGTGGGTTGGCCGTGCTAAACAGTCCCATAGTGTGCAGGGAAGTGCGGGTTAGGTGGATTAGTCATGAGAAATGCAGGCATACAGGGATTGGGTGGGACTTCTTTGGAGGGTTGGTGCAGACTGGATGGGGCGAATGGCCTGCTTCCACACTGTAGGGATTCCATGTCGGGTCTGACAGTCAATTGCTCCCTGAGGGATATTTCCTGATTTAATAGCACCCCTGCTAGCCTGCAATCAGAGAGTCACCTTACTTCATAGTTTGTTCAAATTGTTGGAAACTAAATGGATAAAGAGTTGATAATTGCTGAAGGGAGATCTCTGCAACTGGGGAGGTGGTTGGTGTAACCCCACTTCTCACTCTCTGAATCCTTGCTTTTCAGAGTGAAGGCCAGCTCCATTTTCCATTGCCCCAGTTTCCACTTGTGCCTGGGGTTTTACAGGGGAACTGCAACAGAATGTCACCTCGGCAGCTGTAGCCTGAGGGAGCAAAGGGCGGGTCCCGCTCTAGTTATTTGGCTCTTGTTCCGTTAGGGTGTTTTTTCATTCTATCTTCCTCGGACGTCATCAAACCTATAAAAGTAATAACGTTTCTCTATTCCCAGTAGATTTAGCTGGTCCTGAAGTCCAGAGGGAGACAGACAGCAAGATGAAGACCCTACTCGGAGCAGTGCTACTTACCGTATTGGTCACACAAGGTAAACTCTCCATGCAGTCCTTGTCTGTTCTCTATATCTGTCAACTCTCTCACTGAGAGCTTTTCACACAGAAATATCCATTTCAGAGACAGCAGACTGACTGAAACAGCGAATTGATTTCTCTGGTCCAGTTAGATCCGGTGTTTGAGCCAAGGAAAGAGCGTATTGTGACTTTTTACATGCAATTTCCCAATTTTCTAATGCGCAAGATTACCATGTGTTATTACAGAGTGATATCTCCCCCATTGGGGATTGAGTGTCAGTGTGTGTTATTACAGAGTGATATCCCCCCCATTGGGGATTGAGTGTCAGTGTGTGTTATTACAGAGTGATATCCCCTTATTGGGGATTGTGTGTCAGTGTGTGTTATTGCAGGGTACTTGAGTCCATGGAGAGTTTAGCATTGCTGTATACAATTACACTGCGATGAACCCTTTGAGATTATGTGTTCAAGTATATTATTTCTGTGAGTGTATTTCACCAAGTGTTGAGAAATTCATTCTTGCCTCACTAGATGCGCAGATGAGTTGTACAGTTGTTTTGGGAAATGGTCTGGAAGTGGTTTTATGCAGCATTAGTGTCACTGTCATGAATTTGGAAGGACAGACAATTGATTAAAATTATTGTCTGTTTTATTATCTTCAGCAGCCCACATATATGTGCACGTATGTGCAATAATCATTTGCTTTGTTGGTGGGAATGTGGATAGAGTGTATTATGTCATTCTGTGGTCATCATTGATTGAGCAAACATTTGTTGTCCATCCGTAATTGCCCCTTGACCTGATGTTTAATTGAAGCTATTTTGGTGGGCATTTAATATTCACCGATTTAAGGCCAACTAAGTGGCAAAATTAATTTTGACTGCCGAACACCATGCACACTAACAATGCTATTGGGCAGGTCCTGGTGTTATGTTGCTCAGTCTGCACTGCGAGACACTTTATTCTATGGTTTGTTAAAACATTGCAGGTAAATTTTGCCCCTTTTTTAAGTGTTAAGACGATGAATTACAATTGATCTGAATCCAAAACTTTGATGAAGAATTTCAAACTGCACATTTTCATTCATTCATTTAGGCCCTTCTTGTGGTCGGTTCAAAATGTTTGTCTCCATCATTCCATTAATTCATGTGTTATTTTTGTTGGAGATGTATTTTCTTGCATTGAAAGACGTCATTAACCTTAGTTTATTGTTATTACATCTGACTTATCTGGATGAGTGCAGTTCCAACAGCAGGCAATCAACTCATCAGTATCCAGGACAAAGCAGCCCCTGCTCGATTGGCACCACATCCACAAACATCCCACTCCCTCCCCCACCGACGCTCAGTAGCAGCAGTGTGTACCATCTACAAGATGCACTGCAGCAACTCATCAAGGCTCCTTAGATCGCACCTTCCAAACCCACAAACACTTCCATCTAGAAGGACAAGGGCAAATGCCACCACTTGCAAGCTCCCCTCTGAGCCACTCAGCTTCTTGACTTAGAAATATATCGCCGTTCCTTCAGTGTCACTGGGTCAAAACCCTGGAACCCTTTCCTTTAATGGCATTGTGGGTCCACCTATAGCAGCAGTTCAAGAAGGCAGCTCACCACCACCTTTTCAAGGGGCAACTAGGGACGGGCAATAAAGACTGGCCCAGCCAGAGGCGCCAACTTTCCAGATTTGAGTTAAAATAAACATTTCCATTGTTCTTGCAGGTTACTCACTGACATGCCACAGCTGTAATAGCCTGACAGGCAACTGTGCATTGAACACGACGATAGAGTGTAACAGGACAACCCATTCCACTTGCAGATCAATCAGTGTCAACACCTTAATTGGTAAGTACAGTGCATTCTTGAATATTTTTCTTTCATTAGGATGATTCAGTAACAGCAACACATATTAATCGAGCGCCTTTAATGGAAAAGGAAAGCTCAAACTGCTTTAGATGATTGCAATCAACCTTATCTGTGATTTCATTCACTATTCCTCATTAATGGCTTGGATGAGGAAAGTGAATGTACTAGTGCCAGGTTTGTGGATGGCAGAAAAATACATGGGAAGGAAAGTGGTGAGGACAACACAAAAAATCTGCAAGGGGCTATAGACAAGTGAAGTGGAGAGCGCAAAATCTTGGAAGATGGAATATAATGTGGGGAAATGTGAGCTTATGCTCTTTGGCAGGAAGGATACAGGAACTGAATATTATTTAAATGGAGAAAGACTGTAGAAAGCTACAGAACAGAGGGACTTGGGAGTTCATGTCCATGAATTACTAAAATCTAGCTTGTAGGTTCAGCAGGTAATAAGGAAGGCAAATGGAATTGTTAGTCTTTACTTTAAAGAGAATGGAGCATGAAAGTAAGGAGGCTTTGCTGAAACGATACAACGTACTTGCAGTCCACAGAAGGTTTCTAGGCTGATACCAGATAGGGAAGGACTGTCTCACGAGGAGCGGTTGAGTAGGGGAGGCGATGGCCTAGCGGTATTACCGCTGGACTGTTAATTCAGAGACCCAGATAATGTTCTGGGGACCTGGGTTCGAATCCCACCATGGCAGATGGCAGATGGCAGATGGTAGAATTTGAATTCAATAAATATCTGGAATTAACAATCTAATGATGACCATGAATCCATTGCCAATCGTTGGGGGAAAAAACATCTGGTTCACTAATGCCCTTTAAGGAAGGAAACTGCCATCCTTACCTGGTCTGACCTACATGTGACTCCAGACCCACAGTAATGTGGTTGACTCTTAACTGCCCTAGGGGCAATAAATGCTGCCTAGCCAGCGATGCCCTCATCCCATGAATGAATAAAGAGGAAAAAAAAGGTTGGGCCTGTTCTCACTAGAATTTAGAAGAATGAGAGGAAGCCTTATTAAAACAAATAAGATTCTCAAGAGGCCTTGACAGGGTAGATGCAGAGATGTCTCCCGTTGCGGGAGAGTCTAGAAGCAGAGTAAGAGATCACACACTGAAGACAGAGATGGAATTGCTTCCCTCAAAAGGCAGTGAATCTTTGGATTCCTTTACCACAGAGGGTTGTTGAGGCTGGGTCATTAAGTCTAGACAAGGTTGAGAAAGATTCTTAATCGTTGAAGGAATCAAGGGTTCGGCGGGGAAAGGCAGGAGTGGAAGTGAGCATCAGAGCAGACTTAATGGCCTGACTGGCCTAACTCTGCTCCTATAGCTTATGGCCATATGATCAGACAGAATTCTGATGTTGAGTCATGTGCAAAGATACACAGCAAATATCTAAGTCTTGGTAATGAGGTCATGTTTTAAGAGGCATCTCAAAGGAATGGAGAGAAGTACATTCAGAGATGCTCAGGGAGGGAATTCCAGAGCTCAGGGCCTGGGGCAGCTGAAAGCACAGCTGTCAGTAGGACAGCAATGAGATTCATAGAACGTACAGGTGTACATATGAACAGGGAACAAGAGTAGACCATTGGCTCTTTAAGCCTGCTCTGCCGTTCATTAAGATCATGGCTGATCTGATTTTAAACTCAACTCTACATCTCTATGTCTCCCCAATAACCTTTCATCCCCTTGGTCATGAAGATTCCATTTACTTCTGCCTTTAAAAAGGTTAAAACATTCTTCATCCATGGCCTTTTGAAGAAGGGAAATCCAAACACTCTGAGAGAAAGAGCGAGGGAATGGACAAGAGGTCAGAATTGCAGGGAAACAGAGATCTTGGAGCTTGTAAGCCTTGTAGGAGGTACAGAAATTGGGAATATTGTAGGTACTAGAGCATGCTGCAGAGATAGGGAGGGGTGTAGGGGCTGGAGGGGGTTACAGAGATAGGGAGGGGGTGTAGGGGCTGGAGGGGGTTACAGAGATAGGGAGGGGTGTAGGGCTGGAGGAGGTTACAGAGATAGGGAGGGGGTGTAGGGGCTGGAGGAGGTTACAGAGATAGGGAAGGGTGTAGGGGCTGGAGGGAGTTACAGAGATAATGAGGGGCATAAGGGCTGGAGGCGCTGATAGAGATAGGGAGGGGTGTGGGGTCTGGAGAAGTTCAGAGTTGGGGGTGTTTAGGGGCTGGAGGGCTGTTTCTGAGCTGAGAGCGTGATAGGGCTGATAGAGTTTGCAGGGATTTCCGATGGGAAGGTTACAGAGATAGCTGCTATGGGAGCTAATGGATATTGGGGGCGGGGGGAGGGGGGGGATGTGGGCAGAGGTTTGTCCGGCCTGGAAGAATTTTTAATGAATTCATGAAATGTGGTTGTCACTGGTTGATTCAGCAGGTATTCCCCTTGTGAATTGTGAATTTTGTGTCAGACTATAGTAAGTGGTGACCCATTATAGATCTTTTCCTGTTGGCACACCCACAGTTCCATCCAGGATTTTGACCCAGCTAAAATGGCAGAACGGTGGTATAGTTCCAAGTCAGGATGTTGCATGGCCTCAAGGGGAACACAGTGGGTGGCGTTCCCATGCGTATGCTGTCCCTGCCCTTCTCGAGGTTTGGTAGGTGCTGTTTAAGGGGCCCTAGTGAATTTCTGCAATGCGTCTTGTAGATGGTACACACTACTGCTACTGAGCGTCGGTGGTGGAGGAAGTGGGATGTTTGTGGATGTGGTGCCAATCAAACCGGGGCTGCATTGTCCTGTCTGCCATTGAGCTTCTTGAGTGTTGTTGGAGCTGCCTCCATCCAGGGCAAGTGGGGAGTATTCCATCGCACTCCTGACTTGTGACTTGTTGATGGCAGACAGGCTTTGGGGAATCAGCAGGTGAGTTCCTTGCTGCAGGATTCCCAGCCTCTGACCTGCTTTTGTGACCACTTTATTTCTATGGCTGCTCCAGTTCAGTTTCTGATCTATGTAATTTCCAAGATGTTGATATGATAGGATTGGCATTGAATGTCAAGGGTCGATGGTTAGGCTATCTCTTGTTGGAGGTGATCAGTTTTCAGAGGTAAGATGCATTATAGGAGCTGGCGAAGGATGTAGAGATAGATTTATATGTTTTTTAAATTGTGCAAAGCATAGAAACAGACCTTTCATTAAAACTTGTCCACGCCGACCAGATATCCTAAATTAATCTAGTCCCATTTGCCAGCATTTGGCCCATATCCCTCTAACCCCTTCCTATTCATGGATCCATCCAGATGCCTTTTAAATGTTGTAATTGTACCAGCCTCCACTACTTCCTCTGGCAGCGCATTCCATACACGCACCGCCCTGTGCGTGAAAAAGTTGTCCCTCAGGTCCCTTTTAAATCTTTCCCCTCTCACCTTAAACCTATGCCCCTCTAGTTTTGGACCCTCCCCCACCTCAGGGAAAAAGGACCTTGGTTATTCACCCTCTCTGTGCCCCTGATGATTTTATGAACTTCTATATGGTAACCCCTAAACCTCTTGGGTGGTGCCAAGATTGTAGAATCCCCACGGTGTGGAAACAGGCCCTTTGGCCCAACAAACCCACACAGATCCATCCCCCCATAAATCTGCACACCCCTGAACACTATGGGACAATTTAGCATGGCCAATCCACCTAACCTGTACATCTTTGGACTGTGGGAGGAAACCGGTGCAAACCCGCACAGACACAGGGAGAACGTGCAAACTCCACACAGACAGTTGCCCAAGGGTGGAATTGATCCTGGGTCCCTTGTGCTGTGAGGCAGCAGTGCTAACCACTGTGCCACCATGCCTCCCATAGGCTGAAGTTGTATTTATTGACTCTGAGTGACATTGTGGCTGTAACATGATATGATTTGCTCCATTAGGTAATGAAAACAGCACATACCTTCTGAGTGGCTGTGGAGGATGTTTTGGCCTTGTTACCTTCAACAGCGGACTGATCTCCCACTACGTGCACACGACCTGCTGCAGTTCTAACCTCTGCAACGACGATGTCAAACCAGGTAAGACACCGATATGATGCAAGATGTCAGGAGGTGGGCTGCCATAGAGGACCGTGTTTACCACCACAAAACTTTCCTTTCACTGTCGGACCAAAAGCAGAAGTCAGACCCTCAAATGTACAGATGGAGTTGACATTTACACCCATACTCAGGTCATAAATTCAGGACGTTCCACAAATTATCACGATGAATTTTGTGGAACACCAGGCAGTTGGTCTCAGTCCCTTCCTAGGTGCAGTGATACAATCATAACATTCTCGAGTTTAGTTTTGATGTTTCAAGTGATGCTGAGGAACGAAAACTGGCCCATGGTGTCGGGAGGTACCTGATAGATGAAGGTCCTGCCCACTCTGTCACATCAGTCCATTGTGAACTTGCCCTGCGCACGTTCAGTTGCGTTCCCTTGCTTCCCACGACCACTCCCCACAAACATCACTCAGAACCCTGCACGCTTATTTTATCTCTTCAGAACCTGTCAGTAATGTCCTTTTGTGATTGCTGTGATTACCTGGTCTGGCTTCCATGTGACTCTAGACCCTGCTGCAACCACACTCTGGTCAATTAAAAATGGGCAATGAATGCTGACCCGGGCAGTGACACCCACTTCTGAAGAACGAGTTAAAACAAAAATTGAGCATGTCGCTTTTGCTCCTTTAGCCAATCACTTTAAGCCATTTGGTTCTTGACCCTTCCACTAATTGGTCCAGTTGCTCTCGATCCACTCTATTCTGACACTGCATTATTATCAGCACCTCTCTATGAATATACAAATATAAAAATCAGGAGCAGAGGCTGGCCATTTGGCCCATTGATTCTGCCCACCATTCAATAAAACATCGCTGTTTTCTCCTTCCCAACTAGCCCTGATAACCCACAATTCCCTTTGCCTCCGTCTTAAAAATATCCAAAGCCTACATTACTTTCTGAGGCAAAGAGTTCCAATTTGTCACGCAATTTCTCTATCAAACCTCTTGAACTTCTCTTTCCAAGGGAGAACAATCCCAACTTGTCCAATGCATCCACGTGGCTTTTAGTGGGCACAGTTCTGAGATCCTGCCAGTAGAGTTTAATGCTTTGAAACGTTCTGAAGAGCGGGACTGGTTCACATTGCTGCCTGTTTGCATTTCAGACATCGAGAACAGCACGCTGAATGGATTGGAATGCCACGCATGTTATGCTGTTACCGAGCTCGGGTGTAATAACACAAGGGTGACAGTGAAATGTAAAGGACAACAGGATCGCTGTATCCACGCATCAGGCCACAGTAGAGGGTGTAAGTCTGGGTATTTATTCGCCACCTCACCTCTCGGCAGAAACAACATTATGTGGCGAATTTTATGGCACAGAAAGAGGCCGCTCAGCCCTTCCTCCGTTGAAATTGACACATGCAGACTGATATAGATAGGTTTGGTGAGTGGGCAAAAATCTGGCAGACGGAATGTAACGTGGATAATTCAGAAGTTGTTTACAAGGGCAGGGAAAATGAAGAGAAAAATAGAGTATCACTTAAATGGAGAATGACTGGGCAATTCCAAAGTGCAGAAGGATCCATGTGTTGGAGCACATGTGTCTCGAAAGGCTAGTATACAGGTAAGGCATGTAACCAAGAAGACCATGGGATGCTATCCTTCATTGCACAAGGAACTGAACCGAATAGTAAGAATGCGATACTTCATTTATGCAGGGTGATACTGTGTATAGTTTTGGTCTCCTTATTTAAGGAAGGATATGACTGGATTGGAGCTGGTTCAGAGGAGGCTAACTGGATTGTTACCTGGAGTGAGGGTGTGTGCTGTGAGGAAAGGGTCGGGCAGACTGGGCTTGTTTCCCCTGGGGGTTAGAGCTGAATGGCCTCCTCCTGTTCCTGTGCAGTGCTTTGTCGTTCAGCAGTTGAGGAAGGTGATGGGGCACTTGGGTGAGATGATCTCCCTCTCTCCATCTGATGGTATCAAATTGATGGCTCTTCCTTTACTCCAAACAGTGGACCCAAGGACTTTTGTGATGAAAGGCTGTGCTTCCGACTTCCTCTGTCGAAATCCTACCGGTCTTGGACTTTTCAACTATGTGCCGTCCACGGCTTTCTACTGCTGCAAGGATGGCATGTGTAATCTCGAGTCACGGAATTTCACCCAATCCACCACTCCTGGCCCCACAACCACTTCCACCTCTGGCCCAACCCAACTCAGCACCTCTCTCAGCATTGCTCTCCCCCTGGTCTTCCTCAGACTGGTGCTCTGAAGCACAACGCTTCACTCTTCATCTCTCCTCGGCTGGGTAGCAGGAGTCTGTGGGTGGAACGAGGGTTCCTAAGAGGGAGGGTCATTCCCAACGTGCTCAGTGCGGTCAAACCCTCTCGTCAACAGATTTACAGTCCCCCCTCAATCTCCTGCTGGGAGACCTTTCTCAGCTCATTCCCTCCCACACCTCGTTGTACAGTAGCTATTCTATTGCGGTATTTGCTCAGTGGTGGTTATGCATATGTCATGTTTGATCCCAGCGTGTGTATAGGCCGTTCAGCCCATTTTATTTATGAAAGATGTTATTTAGATCAATATTATTCTGATCCCACTCTCTTCTCTCACCCTGTGCCAATCCCAAATTAATCACACTGCCCTACACTCTCCCAATGACCATATATCAATCCCCAAACTAATCCCACTGCCCTGCGCTCTCCCATAGTCCTGTATCAATCCCCAAACTACTCCCACTGCCTCACTCTCTCCCCATGGCCCTGTATCAATCTCCAAACTAATCCCAC